TTTTTATGAATGAAGGATTACTGGTGGTCCTGGGGCCTTTTCAGTTTCACCAGCATAGGTGAGCGAGCAAAAGCCAGGGAAACAATAAGCCTCCATCAGTTTGCCATTTTTAAACCTTTCCACCTGAATTAACCTATCAACAAACAAAATCAATTCACGCTGACCTTAAGTTCCCGCCAAATATCCACAAATGAAATTAGGCATTTCAAATGTTTTGAGTATAGTGCATAGTTCTTTAATAGTTTTTTTTTTTTTATTCCAACAGATAATATTTATCTTAATCTGGAGTTAAAAGCTAAAAACAATAGACTATCAACAATTATGAATAGAACGATCATAAACTTTTTTTTTCTTTTACTCATTGTTTATTTGAGTTTTTGTTTTCAATATTAAATAAACTTACGTGTACTAGGAAAATGAAGAGGAAACGACATTTACAATAATTTCATGTAAAATAGGCACTTTATATGCATCCGACAAACCTCTTGGAATGGAATGAAAAAAGAAACAATCGCTTTGTGGGGTATTATAGGAGTACTTTTTTAAAACCCTTTCAATCTACATACATTTCTATGTAAGTTAATTAAACACGCTTTTATCCAACGCTTTATTATGCGCTCTATTTTTTAAGACGTCCGATTTACTTGATAATTTGTACACGTCTCAAAGACCGACAACATCAGAGAGATTTAATAAATGTGGCCCAATATCAATTTGATAATTAGTTAATTTTTATTTTGGCTTGTTATGGAAACGCCCGTTAAGATAAAGCGGCACGATACGAGAACTCTCTCATCGTCGCCGCCGGTAACTTTTGCCGATCCCGCGGACCAAATGGTAAACAGTTGACGTCGCCCAAAACACGTCATCTCGGATCCTCCCGATCCACTAACGGTGCTTTTAGGTACTTCAAGCACCGGTCATCGTTTTCGTCAAACCTGTCGCTTGCGACGAAAGTCTCGGCGAGTAAGCTGACCCATAGACACAGCCCACTGAGTTTCTCGCCGGATCTTCTCAGGGGTCGCGTTTCCGATCCGGTGGTAGATTCTGCGAAGCACGGCTCTTGCTAGTGTTCGTGTTAGCAACATCGTCAGGTTTGAGCCCCGTGAGTTAACCTATTAGCCCGGTGACGCTGACATGGTCTCTCTAGACCATCAGCTTAATCTTGGTAATCAAACCATCTTGCAACATTATTGGGGATCTGTGCATAGAATAAAAAAAATAAAAATCGGGATGAAAAAATAGGGGTTGATCGTAAAGAGTGAAAATTGAGAGTAATATGAATTTTTTTATTCTAAGTCATGATAAAATAAAAACAAAATTCTTGCAAAAAAAATTAGTTTTTAATTAACAAATATAAAATAAGGGGTGATCGTAGAGGAATGAAAATTTAGGGTTGTATGTATGTATTTTTGTATGCTGTATCATAAAAAAATAAAAACAAAAAAAGTCTAAAAAATAAATAAATAAATTTAGGGGTGGACCCTTAACATTTAGGGGGATGAAAAATAGATGTTGTTCGATTCTCTACCCTGGCCGATGTGCACGCTAAGATTCACGAAAATCGGTCGAGCCGCTTCGGAGGAGTTCAATCACGCACACCGTGACACGAGAATTTTATATATTAGATAATACGAGTAATTATTATATTTTAAAAGGGATTTAATGATCTGTCAGTTACTTCAGCAAGAATTCCAAAATTCATTTTAAGGCGTGCTATTCAACTACTTTTCTCATACCACTCATCAATATTCGAATCAAATCGCCTAAATAATCGCCTCGTTGACTTAATGCTTAATTTCTTCAACGCATGGAATAGGAACAGATCCGGAATGCAATACTATTAGGAGTCTATTCCTATTCCAAGTCGGAGTCAATAGCTTTATTAAAGATATTGCGTATTGGTATTGGTAATATATGTTTTTGGCTTGAATAGAGGTTTCGTGTAACATTAGGAGAAAATCCTATTTTGACCATTGAAGCAACGTCCATTTATTTCTCCTCTTCCGAATGACTGATTACAGGGCACACTGTGTTGCCTTTTTATGCGGCTAAGAAGTTATGCTTTCCGATTTAAAGTATGGGACAGGCGAGATATAATAATGCTGAGACTTTGATCTTATATGTTGATTCAATGCGGTATTCACGGTGCTTAAGGGCTGTAGGCTGCACCGCTTAATCTCATGAGCTCGTTCAAGTATTAGACAGATTAGTGGTCCCAGGGTGTAAACAGTCGACGTCGCCCTAAGCACGTACCTCAAACACCGATCATCGTTCTCACCGAACCTGTCGATTGCGACGAAAGTTTCAGAGAGTAAACTAACCCATACATATTTATGCCGTGAAGCAGTAATGTGTTTCGGTCTGAAGGGTAGGGCAGCCGTTGTAACTATACTGAGATCTTAGAACTTATATTTCAAGGTGGGTGGCGGATTTGCGCTGTAGATATTTATGGGCTCCAGTAACCACTTAACACCAAGTAGACTGTGAGCCCGTCCACCCATCTAAGCAATAAAAAAAAAGACAGCCACGTTTTCGATCCGGTGATAGATTCTGCGGAGCACTGCTCTTGCTAGGGCTAGTGTTAGCAACGTCGCCAGGTTAGAGTCTCGTGAGCTCACCTACTAGTTCGGTGAATCTAGTTTATAGCCCCTCGAGGTTACGAGGTTACGAGGTAGGAATAGGTAAGAAAAAAAAGGTCCCAGGGCTTAGACAAAGAGTCGAGACGCGGGCCTTTGCAAAACATATACCAAACATACTGTAATAAAACTAACAGAGCGCTAGTGGCTTCCTTTGTTGAGTTAAAAAAACGAATTCTTTATATTTTAAAACAACAAACGTTATTCACGGTTCTACACTAAACGTAAAATAAATATGATTATTAGATTATCTTTCGTCGTATTAAAAAAAAAAAAAACTTCGAGCTATTTTTATGTAGTAGTACACGATATTTCGTAATAAGCGTGTAGTTTTTAGTATACAGAAACTTATAGAAGGTTTTATCATTAAAGTTTTATATTAAGAACTTAATTATAAGTGATATAAAGGTTACTTTTGAAATATTTGAAGTTTTCCCGAAGAAAAACATAGGAAGTTGTGTGTTGGTGCAAAGAGGATGCTGCATATTTGACAAGTTGAGAGTGATTTAAAAAAAAACAATAAATTTGTCATAAAACAATTGGAAAATTTAAAGTTTGAGTTAATTTTTTTAAATGTTTTTTCTATCTGATTCTGATGTCCGGTAATCACAAACGGGCCCCGGGATCGGATGCCTTAAAATCCTAACTTAATAAAATTCTAATGTAAAAAATAATAAGCTGAAATTTGCTACTTATCGAGTCTAAGTTAATCTGGTGTTTTGTAGTAATTACAAAAATGTCATGCAGCATTTTCATACGTAAGTATCTGAGTGTAGCTTTTATAAGCTTTGATTTTATTTTTCATATACAGAACTANCACAAACGGGCCCCGGGATCGGATGCCTTAAAATCCTAACTTAATAAAATTCTAATGTAAAAAATAATAAGCTGAAATTTGCTACTTATCGAGTCTAAGTTAATCTGGTGTTTTGTAGTAATTACAAAAATGTCATGCAGCATTTTCATACGTAAGTATCTGAGTGTAGCTTTTATAAGCTTTGATTTTATTTTTCATATACAGAACTAAAATGCGAATTATTTTCGAAATCCCGACATGATAAAATAAGTCTATCTAAGAATATCTAATATAAGTCTAATATAATATAAGAAATCTATCTAATATAAGAAAATCTAAGTATAAAATATTAATAAAGTAGATGAGCGAAATAACGTTAAAATTTTGTAACAAGAAACACCATGAGATATTAATAGTTACGTATGTATGATGAGTCCGCGTTTGTTGATACAATTTACTCATACTTGTTCCGTATTCTTTGAAGGCTCTCTAGATAAGGTGTCACAGGTACTCATATCGAATGGTTTTCAAAACCATTGTAGGTTTTAATGTACGTCCAGAGGCGGTGGTGGTTCGCTTCTACGTGAGGGCGGTGTAGTCTGGGGCACTGTACCAGACCACCGTATCTGGCCGCCTGACGGGCTTCCGTACCGAGCAAGACGGGTCGTCGTACTCCCTTACGGTGGCACGGAACGGGCTTCGGAACAAACCCCACTGCCCGGGCTGAAACTCCCTGCCCTAAAAGACAGGGCTGACGATGACGCTGGGAGGAATTGAGAGGGGGCTGCTCGTAGCTCGTAGCTCAGCACATCTACATCGACATATATACATAAATATAATACGATGGCTTGAATCCTGCCAGGAGTGACGCCCGGCAGCAAGCTCCCACCGGTGTCGTGCTGTCGTCTGCTTCGAATTTTTTTTAAGCGAGACGGCTGACGTAGTGTCGTTGACTGTCGCGACGACCAGTCATTCGGGCGTCCTCGGGGTGGCGCCGCGTGTCTGGTTGTAGTGTTGACAGCGGGAGCCCCCCTACTCTGGCTGGGCTCTGACCCCGGACGGATTTTAGACGTCGGCTGAGACAGTGCAAGGGCGTCGCTTAGTGGATATGACCCTAAAACATCTTGGTTCTGCTCTCTGCTCTCAGCCGACTGTCAAGTCCCACTTATTCCGCACACCCCTTTGTATGAAATTCGACTCACATCTCTAGAAAAAAGGAGTTCGTGTATATGGGTAGAAAATGGGTAAAACACCGTTGCGTCGCTCGATACGAATGCACCGGGCGTCTTATCGTTTAGGACACGATGAATTTAAACTAAATTATATTTTAATGCTTAATATACTGCACTCAACGTATAACACTAACGTTATAACAGTCAAAAATAAAGCAATTTGCATTACATTAAAAGCTAATGAAGCATCAGGCGCTTTATAGTCATACGCAACCTTAAACGTATGGAATTTTCTTTCCTTTTTTGAATAATTTTGGGTCTGTTATTTTTATTACTAAATACTGCTAATGCCAAAAACGCTACAACATATTAGTAACCTAAAAATATTTCTAGCATCTCCCAGCCGGAAGCCGGAGAAGTCTGAAGCATGGAGCTTAAAGGTGCGAAGGTGGTGCCGAAGTCGTCGTTGTCAACTCTGGCGACTGTTGCTGCTGCCCTTTATCCCGATCCTAGCACTCATCATACAGACCACGCTCTCACTGCGGCACAGCATCACAAACGGAAGAGATGTCGCTGATGTTGAAGAGCAGGTAAGCGCTTTCCAAATTGTATAGATATAAAAACTTTAAATAATATTAACTTTAAATATTATACTTAACACGTCATTATGGCCTGTCCTGGTGAAACTGAAAAGGCCTCCGGGCCACCAGTACTATTCCTTCAATCATAAAAAAAACGTCATTACGGATCCTCCCGATCCATTAACGGTGCTTTTAGGTACCTTAAGCACCGGTCACCGTCCTCGCCGAAATTAACCCATAGACACAGCCCACTGAGTTTCTCGCCGGATCTTCTCAGTGGGTTGCGTTTCCGATCCGGTGGTAGATTCTGCAAAGCACTGCTCTTGCTAGGGCCTGTCTTAGGAATACTCCCGGTTTGAGCCCCGTCAGCTCACCTATACGTCAAAGAGAAGCTGAAATAGCCTCTCAAGGCTATCAGCATAGGTAGGGGAAAAAAAAGTCAATCAGCCACATTCGGATCTGTTAGTAAATTCGTAAAGAACGGCACAGAAGTTGAATGTAGCTGATGCTAGAACGTAATATGAGTTTGCGCTTTACTCCGCGTATTTCTGTCGTGAAATAATCATGTATGTATCATGTTTTTTACTGGAGGCAGGAGCTCTTGTGAGTCCGCACGGGTAGGTTCTACTGCCCTGCTTATATCTGCCGTAAAGCAGTAATGCGTTTCGGTTTGAAGGGTAGGGCAGCAGTTGTAACTATACTTCGATCTTAGAACTCATCAAGGTGCGTGGCGGCATTTACGTTGTAGACGTCTATGGGCTCCAGTAACCACTGAACACCAGGTGGGCTGTGAGCTCGCCCACCCATTTAAGCAATACAAAAAAGTATTCTTGTTTGAATTTAGTTTGACAATACGGTGGAGAATTTGACATAATTTCTCGCAGCAGACGGCGATATTGACATAGTGATGTGTATATCTGATGAGTGATTGATGATTATGTGGCTCCGGTGTTCGCTGTACATCAGGCGAACTGTGAACTAGTTCATTAGTGGACGCAAAAGCAATACCTTCCATTAAGGCGATAAAGTCTGCATTAGACATTTTCCAACTTATGTGGATTGCACTTACGACCCCACCTTTTCAATGCAAGTGATCTTTTGGCAGCGGTGTTTGGTAGAGCTAGTGTACTATCAAATTTATAATTGAGGGTTGAGTACAAATTTTTCGCGAACGTTTTTAATCCGAACTGATTTCTTTCATCTCTTACCCTATTGTATATCCGGGGTTATCTTTTCTCGTCTCTCGATGTTGGGGGGATGTATTCTTAACAGATTTTATCTGCGCGAACAAAATGACTCTTTCTTTGTGAAGAAAAAAAAATACTAACATATAGCAATATACAGGTAGATAATACTAGATTAAATAACTTAACTAGGACTTGTATACATAGCAGAGTGTTTTATTTATGAGTTTTTTGTAAGCTGTCAGCGTGTGGGACTAAAAAGTACCTAATAACAAGCAGGTTACAATAAAAAAAAACGAATTTTTGAATTTAATTTTTTTAAAATATAATTCTTTTCCAATATATTGTTACTAGCTGGAGATTTAAGATAAATAAGAGCTCCCACCGAAATACGAATTAAAACTAAATTTAATGCATATGACAATAAGGTAGATTTTTCTATCACAATTCACTTCGTTGTTTTCTTGAGGTGATTCGTTCGACTATGTCTACATTTTCCAGAACATTCAAGAGATGTTCCAGTTGTTTCAATATCAGTTTTTGCTATTTAACAGCAGATGGCGTTACTCATAATGCCATAACAACATTAAGGATTATTTTCAAAAGCACTGTGAAAGCACTCCATTAAATAGCTGCCTTGAAAGCTATAGGGGGTTAAACAAAAAAGACAAAGTTTTTTTTTTTTTTATTGCCCTTGTGGGCGGACGAGCTTACGACCCACCTGATGTTGAGTAAACGACCCAACTGATGTTGAGTGGTTACCGTCGCCCGTGGACGTCAGCAATGTTGACGTTAAGTACTCTCCACAAGCCTCGTTTGAAGAATGACATGACAAGTATTTCACTAAAGACCGGAGGAGATTGAGCTTTGCCAAAAGTGCCTTCACTCTTACGATTTTAATGTCCAGGAAGAATATTGATGACAAAAAACTGAAACACGCGTTGTTAACCGCCCGTCACTGTCATTTGATTAGGGTACAACACCAATTTGTAATTGTATATGAATATATTTTTTACGTTAGCTCACCACCGTCGATCAAAATAAATAAAAGCACAAGCAAATTTATATTCTATGTGCGGGTGTCAAAGGTTCTTGTCCTCTGAACTGCGACCTCGATTGTCAGCAGAATATTCTTTCAGGACTCATACAAACGTACCGATTTGTATGAGGTATAATTTTATCGATGTTTCTTGGAGTATATTAATTCGGTTTCCTTAATTCGATTATTCTGGTTGAAATAAATAAGAAATGCTTGGTCAGCGTGACTCAAAGCTCTCTATTCTCATTGCCAAAGGTCAGTGGTCCGCAACGTTGACAACCAAAAGAGCCAAATATAGATAACAAACATACAATTGAAATTTATTCAATGAGCCATTTTTTAAACATAAATTTTTATAGTCTTGTGTTTCAAAAAATGTTTCTCGTCTTTTACGAGGCAAGATAAATAAGTAATATTCCGTACTTTTTTTTATTTATTTTATTGCTTAGATAACGATGGGGGACGAGCTCACAGCCCATTTGATGTTAAATGGATACTGGAGCCCATAGACATCTACAACGTAAATAGGCCACCCACCTTGTGATATAAGTTCTAAAGTCTCAGTATACTTACAACGACTGCCCCACCCTTCAAATCGAAACGCATACTGCTTCACGGCAGAAACGGGCAGGGCGGTTACTACCTGTGCGGGCTTACAAGAGATCCTGTGATCAATGATCACTTTTACTGGTGGACAAAGTGATCATCTAGAACTAGCTGGGCCGTTAGACAGGCGTCAGGTACTATTAAAAAAATTCTATAAAATCACTTATTGCTAACTTAGTAATCCAAATCGATTATTTTACTTATCTCTATTGAAAAAAAAAACTTTAGAATTTTTCTACGCGTTCCAAACAAATAATCGCGTACGAATCCGATTTATTTGTGTGAATATTTTTTTACACGCATTACAGACGTAATTTGTGGACTGTCAATACGGGTATTGCTCACTTTATTCTGACAGGGGCATCGTATCTCTGTGATAATTTGCGGGAAATTTGAAGTTTTCCACGGCCATTTTTGAAGTGAAACTTCCTTATCGGCGTTGGAAAAAAATTTACCGTCACGTTTTTCGGTTACGCGTCACTTTTTTCCGTTACGCGCCATCTTTTAATTAACGGCTGTATGTTCTGAAGTATGGATGCGCATTTGAGAAACCGACCTCATGTCTCAAGGTGGGTCACGGAATACATTTTGTAATTGCAATAATCCCAGGTAACCCACTTAATATCACGTGGACCGTGCTATTATTGTTATTACGTAAAATAATAGGAAGAAAAGTACCAGGGTATTATGATATCAAAGAGATGTATTATTATAACTTTACTCTGACGTACAGCCTTCTTTATTAATTAACGGCTGTATGTTCTGAAGTATGGATTCCGATTTGAGAAATTGACCTCATGTCTCCAGGTGGATTACGGAAATCATTTTGTAATTCCAATAATCTCAGGGAGCCCACTTAATAATATCACGTGGACCGTGCTATTTATTACTGTTATTACGTAAAATAATAGGAAGAAAAGTACCAGGGTATTATGATAGCAAAGAGATTTATTAATAATTAACGGCGGTATGTTCTGAAGCATGGTTTCGGATTTGAGAAATCGACCTCATGTCTCAAGGTGGGTCAAACTTCACGAACCTCAGGAACCCCATTTAACACCACGTGGACCGTGCTATTATTATTAATTTATAGGAAGAAAAGTACCAGGGTATTATGATATCAAAGAGATGTATTATTAAAATGCTGTAATAATCTTAGTAGCAAAAAGGTAAAGTGAAATAATTGTATTATTTGTATTCATGTCTATGATAATAAAATCCTTTTGTTTAAACTTTATCTAATTTAACTTTATTTAACCAATTTCTAGAAAGTTGCATGTAGATCATTTTTCGAAAAATAAGGCCATAAACAAGTTTCACTTCTTACGTGTGTACACTAGTACACGCACACATTTTTTTTATCTACTTATTGTTGAACTAGCGACCCGCCCTCGCTTCGCTTCGGAAACATTAAAACACACATGAAACCAAAAAAATAATATTAAAAAAAAATAAAAAAAAGTAGCCTATGTTCATCAGGGACAATGTCGGCTTCTAATGGAAAAAGAATTTTTCAAATCGGTCCAGTAGTTTCGGAGCCTATTCGAAACAAACAAACAAACAAATCTTTCCTCTTTATAATATTAGTATAGATATAGATATAGACTACAATTGTGAACTAAAAATGCCCAGTTTTACTATGTTCAAATGCGTTAATACAAAAATATAGGTCTGAATTTTTTTTTTTTTTATTGCTTAGATGGTTGGACGAGCTCACAGCCCACCTGGTGTTAAGTGGTTACTGGAGCCCATATACATTTACAACGTAAATGCGCCACCCACCTCGAAATATAAGTTCTAAGGTCTCAGTATAGTTACAACGGCTACCCCACCCTTCGAACCGAAACGCATTACTGCTTCTCGGCGGAAATAGGCAGGGTGGTGGTACCTACCCGTGCGGACTCACAAGAGGTCCTACCACCAATTATGATTGACGTTCGCCATGATGGAATGTTTGTAGACGAAAGATGAGACACTTGTGTGTCTATGGAAACGTGGAAATGATTGTGAGTGAAGTATTTTAGTTCGAGGGCTTAAAAATGCTTACACGCCATTAATGCTTTATCGTGGATTTTATGAATCGATGATATGTATTATTTAACTTAGAAATTATTCACTATTTATCCTTACCATATTAAATAAAAGTATATATATTTGTATAATGTATTGGAACGAAGTTCCTTATCGCGCGTTGTGAAAGGGGGCTAGACGGAAAAAATTCTTACGAAAAGTTGTCACGACACTTTTTGCTATAGTAAGCTATTGTAAGCTGTGCGGCGTCGCATGTTTCTCTGTCTGTCTGTCTGTCTCTCTCTCTCTTTCTTCATACCTCGAATAGAACTTTAAATTAATATTTTTATAATTGGGAACTTCGTTCCTATCTGGTGTCCCACGACACCACACATCTTTTTATAATATAAAGTAAGTATATGTATGTGTATGTATATATATTGTTTTGTATCTTGTAATATGTATATATTATTATATGTAATGTTTACTGTATGCACTAGGTTTGTGTTCCTAATTCTTCTTTCCTTTTGCGGGCCTACTGGAAGAGATTTCAACATGAAATAAGTAGTGCTCTTGTAATCTGTATCCTTATTGTCTTGTTTCTTCTAACAGCTGTGTGTACAAAATATATTAAATAAATAAATAAATAAATTAGAAAAGGATGTACCTATCATATCAGTCCTACGTAATTGACCATCTTAGCGACATCGGAAGCTGGTGCCATTAGATACTGAGATTCAAGAGTGGAAGTCTCCCCCAACGATAAACAATTTAATGCAATAAAAAATAAAATGATTCACTAATAGCGTCTCGTCCGGGTCCCATCTGCGCCGTCACGAAAATTTATAAGTTTTCATTGTATAACATAATTAAATTAAATTCCGAAAGTACTTTCTTGTTTTCAATTATCCGAGATGAATTCTAAATTTGTTGGGTTTTTATATTACACCGAGGCTACACGAAGGCTTCGTAATTAACCGATGTTAATGAGTTTTCTGACCAGCTATTGGATTCTTGGCGTTATAGTGAACTACTTTTAAACATCGTTCCTGGTTCATTCACGACCGAGACTGTTTATTGTGCTTTCGATTTTTTATAGAGCTGTATTCATTGCATCATATTCTCTGTGTAACATTTAATTTGACAAATTATCTCTTATTACGCCATAAGCGATCTTTTGTGTCCAATAAATTTAATACATATTTAGTTTTGTAGTGATCGGATCCAGGTCCAAACAAAAATCGGCTATGAATGCGCTTTATTTGCAAGAAACGATATGCTGCTTTATAGGTTTATAGGTGGAGATTAATTGACGTTGCGTGCGTCGATATAGTGAAATGTTTTTTTTTTTGTTTTTTTTTTTTTTTGCTTAATTGGGTGGACTAGGTTGACTGCCACGGTTAAGGAATAGCATCGTGTAATTAAAATCAAACCCGCAAAATTATAATTTGCGTTATTACTGGTGGTAGGACGTGTTGCGAGTCTGCGCGGGTAGGCACCACTACCCTGCCTATTTCTACCGTGAAGCAATAATGCGTTTCGGTTTGAAGGGCGGGGCAGCCGTTGTAACTATACTGAGACCTTAGAACTTATATCTCAAGGTGGGTGGGGCATTTACGTTGTAAATATCTATGGACTCCGGTAACCACATAACACCAGTTGGGCCGTGAGCTCGTCCACCCACCTAAGCAATAAAAAAAAAAAACTTAACAGAGCGGACTTAGTAACATCTGTGTTAACACCTTGGCTGTGGCAAGCAAAGTCATAAGCCTTGGTCTGATGTGGCGGCGACCAGTGCGTGGCAGGTCTTTCTAGACCCACCAGCACTAGGGTAGATAAAACTCCTATCTGTAACTTTGCGAAAACAAGCAGTATACAATTTATAGTATATAGTTGTCGGTGCTAAACTGTTCACCTGGATGAAGTAATTGGTTTCTTCGTCCGTATCAGCTGAAAGTACTGCGGCGGGCCGATATGGGCCTGTTCTGCAGTGAAGGTGTTAATAGAGAATGTCTGCTTCCACCAGGTCAGTCGGGCCACGGAGCTGGGCAAGCTGGTGACGAGGCTGCAGCAGGAACGCTCCGAAGTAGCCTTCTTCATCTTCACTAATGGAAGTAAATTGAGGTATGTAATACATTGTATTTTTTTATTATTGCTGAGATGGGTGGACGAGCTCACAGCCCACCTGGTGTTAAGTGGTTACTGGAGCCCATAGACATCCACAACGTAAATGCGCCACCCACCTTGAGATATAAGTTCTAAGGTCTCAGTATAGTTACAACGGTTACCCTACTCTTCAAACCGGAACGCATTACTGCTTCACGGCAGAAATAGGCAGAGCGGTGGTACCTACCCGTGCAGACTCACAAGAGGTCCTACCACCAGTAATTACGCAAATTATAATTTTGCGGGAATGATTTTTATTACACGATATTATTCCTTCACCGTGGAAGTCAATCGTGAACATTTGCTAAGTACGTATTTCATTAGAAAAATTGGTACCCGCCTGCGGGATTCGAACACCGTTGCATCGCTAGATACGAATGCAACGGGACGTCTTATCCTTTGGGCCACGACGACTTTGTACATTTGGCACTGAAAATTTCGGGAATTAACGAAGTGACACAACATTACTATTTAAAAATGTATTTATTGCTTTTCGAAGTATTCTCCGTGAAATTTGACACATTTTTCCATACGATGGAACCAATCATTGAAGCAACCATTCCATTCGGAAGTTGGGGTCTCCAAAATGGCCGTTTTGTAGGCGTCCTCAGCTTCTTCAGGTGATGAAAATCTCTGTCCACGCAATTTATTCTTTATTTTATGGAAAGTATAGAAATCATTAGGGCTTAGGTCGGGGCTGTACGGCGGATGGTCTAATAATTCTATGTTTTCTTGCTCTAAAAACTCTTTTGTTCTGTGCGCGGTGTGAGAACTCGCATTGTCGTGATGGAGGATGATGCGTCGGTTGCAGTTCTCTTTACGGAGTTCAGAAACGACCTGTGGCAAACAAATGCTAGCATACCATTCTGCATTAACCGTTCTTTGTCCCTCAAGAGGAATAGTCGTAACATGGCCGGTTTTGGAGACAAACGTGGCCACCTTTTTTTTTGCAACACTCCGGGCTTTAACTTATTTTCGAACACCCAAACTCGTGACTGGTTTTTTGTTTCGGGTTCGTACGCGTATATCCAGGATTCGTCACCTGATACAATGTTGTATACAGCATTTGAGGATCCTGCGTGGAATCTTTCGAGAGTTCTGACGCACCAAGTAACGCGAGCCGCTTTTTGCTCTTCACAGAGCGAATGCGGTATCCATCGGGAAAACAACTTTTTTACACCTAATTGTTCATGCAAGATTATTTGTATTTGACTCATGCCAATGTCTAAAGTTGCCTGAATTTCGCGGTATGTCACATGTCGATCTTCCTCAATCAGCTTACGCACAGCATCAACGTTTTCTTGGGTGACTGCAGTTTTTGGACGACCTTGACGGGGATCATCACTGAGCTTGACACGTCCACGTTGAAACTCAGCAAACCAGCGATAAATTGTGGTTTTGGATGGGGCTTCATCACCAAATGCAGAAATCATCCGGTCAACACACTGTTTTTGTGTTAAACCACTTCGAAAGTCATAATAAATCATCGCTCTTGAATTTTCTCGAGTCAATTCCATTTTCTCAACGACTAAACAAGTTTGACAAAACCTCGTGACAAGACCGAGAATCTTTTTTTAAATAAATAAATGGTATTCGATTTTTAAAACCAAGGAGTTTTCAATTAAAAAGATTTTAATATGACAGGAACAGTGGAAATATTCCATTCCCGATACTTTTAGTGCAGCCCTCTATTGCAGTTTAAGTCTTTAAGCTCGTTATTTATTGAAAAAAAAAAATACTTGAAGGTTTTCTGTACGTTAACCTAATATTCGTGTATAGAAGGCGTAGAAATCCGTTTCTGAAATTTAAGAGGGAGGTAGAGATGGTCTTTCGATCCAATACTAATTAAAATCGTGATGGGAATATTAAATTCCACTAAAGATAGGGAACGTATTCATTTTCATACAACCAGCTAGCACTCGAGGCTTCGTATAGGTTGTACGGGTTTGATCTGTGGGGTTAGTGCGAGTTTTTTAACGTTCTCGATAGCGTAAAAGTTAACTCAGATTTATATGCAATTAGAACAGCGCTCCTAGCGGCTAACGTACGCAAACGTTCCAACTCCATACAAAAGTGAGTTAACTTTTACGCTATCGAGAACGTTAAAAAACTCGTACTCGCACAGGCCCTGTAGTTTTCACTTCCTACTCAGTACATTCGTTGATTTTCTCTTGACGAATTTGTGCAGGTCAAATCTAACGCAACGGTACGTGAGAACTGACATGGCAGTTCAGAAGATGGGCGATCTTCCGGTGCTGATGTTCAAGAACCGCACGAGGCCCGTTGATGGAGCTACGTTCCAAGCTGAACTCACCGAGTTGAGGTCAGTGACGTTATCGCTTTAAAAAAGCGCAGTGCATTTTTTTTTATTGCCCCTGTAGGCAGAAGAGCATACAGCCAACCTGATGGTGAGTGGCTACCGTCGCCCATGGACTTCAGCAATGCCAGGGTAGCAACAAGCAGGGTAGTATGGAGAAGTTCTAGGCAAAGAAGTCCAGGCTATGTGAGGAAGGATTAATTTGTTGTGAGCTAAATAAGATACATATTTTTTACTGGTGGTAGGACCTCTTGTGAGTCCGCGCGGGTGGGTACCACCACCCTTCCTATTTCTGCCGTGAAGCAGTAATGCGTTTCGGTTTGAAGGGTGGGGCAGCCGTTGAACTATACTAAGACTTTAGAACTTATATCTTACATTTACGTTGTAGATGTCTATGGGCTCCAGTAACCACGTAACACCAGAAGGGCTGTGAGCTCGACCACCCATCTAAGCAATAAACAAAAAAAGAACTTAAAAGAAATAAATCAGGATACGAATTCGTGAAATTGTTTTGAAAAGGCCCAACAAAAATAATGATATCACAATTCATATTGGTTTTGTAAAGTACAACCGTCGGAAAATTATTTTTCAAATACCATTAACGAGTTAAATTCCAATGAAAGCGCAGAGTTCAAAGACCGGATGATCCGCTCGTGTGTTTCCATTAAAATTTAATAAAAACACAAGTTAACAGGTGTAACGATTAATCTTACTTAGAGATGGCAGTTTCCACAGACACATTCCACCTGCCTTGGCTTGTTTTATTGTTTCATTAAGAGCAGCGCTGAAGTTCATTTATTGTGTTTTTACGACAACGGTCCATGATCTCGGATCATTCACATTGTCGCTACACATTATATTGACTTTCAATTTTTACCACGCCATTCGATTTGGATAACAAAAGTATACAACTTGTAACATTAATCTCTTGTGAATATTTAATTAAACGTATTAGTAAAGTGAATAGTTCCACCTTATCTTATAATAATATAGTACCATATAGTGTAAAAATCGTTGAATTTGAACATTTTCATGAACAAAATAAAGAATAGGTTCCGAAATATTAGAGGGAAAAGAATGACAATGAAGCTAAGACTAATGAAAATGTAAAAAAAATCATTGGATTTCTGTTAATTTATAGATTAAAAAAATGCAAGTCTTCCTCATCGCGTCAAATGCCTCATTATTTAGAATCGTGATTCCCCCAATGAGAGATTAATTTAGGTTTGATGATGCTACTGCTTCTGTGTCTGTACTTGGCATCGTGAAGACCACCACGTGGCTTGGTGTTGAGAGTAAAGTCAATAATAAAATTATACCTTGTATATTCTTCTCAACTTTATTTAACACTAGCTTTTGCCAGCGACTTCGTCCGCGTGGAATAGTTACTTTGGAATAACGCTAAACTTTACCCGCGACTTCATTCACGTAGAAGGTGAAAATATTAATATCAATATCATCTTTATAAAAACACCTTATAAATAAATAATGCTTTATTTAGAACAAGTTTGGTTAGCATAAAAAAGGCTATATTGAGCCAACCTTAAAATATAGACTTATGCTTTCGCAGACTTTTTTTAGCCTTTTAATGGGGCATAATTCTCTCATAATTTTTTTTCCTACCTAAGCTGATGGTCTGGAGAGACCATATCAGTGAAGCCTTAACTAGTAGCTTATGAAGCTCAAACCTGAAGATGTTGCTAACACGAGCCCTAGCAAGAGCCGTGCTTCGCAGAATCTACAACCGGATCGGAAACGCGACCCACTGAGAAGATCCGGCGAGAAACTCAGTGGGATGTGTCTGTGGGTTAATTTACTCGCCGAGTCCTTCGTCGCTAGCGACGGGTTCGAAGAGAAAGATGACCGGTGCTTGCGGTACCTAAAAGCACCGTTAGTGGATCGGGAGAATCCGAAATGACTTGTTTTGGACGACGTCGACTGTTTACCATTTGGTCCGCAGGATCGGCTAATACATTATTTAGCGAAACTAACCGTTTCCACAGTGCACGCTGTGGTAGCTCTCAAAAGAGAAAAAAAACACCGTTTGGTCTTAGTGATATATTATAGTCTAAAGCCTTCCTCAACAATTGGGATATCTAACACTGAAAGAACTTTTCGAATCGGACCAGTAGTTCCTGAGATTAGCGTGCTAAACAAAACAAACAAACAAACTCTTCAGCTTTATGATATTAGTATAGATTATTTTAATATTTCGACGGTTTCGCGCGTAATGTGAACATAAACCGTCTAGTACATATTTTGTTAAGAACATTCAATTATAATTACATTTCTTTGTACACATAAAGAACTAACAGTATCTTGAAGTCTGTCTGTTCATTGCACTGGAGTTTCCCGATCCATTAACGATGCTTTTAGGTACCACAAGCACCGGTCACCGTCCTCGTCAAACCCGTCGCTTGCGACGAAGGGCTCGAAGAGCGAATTAACCTACAGACACAGCCCACTGAGTTTCTCGCCGGATCTTCTCAGTGGGTCGCGTTTCCGATCCGGTGGTAGATTCTGCGAAGCACTGCTCTTGCTAGGGCCAGTGTTAGCAATACTTCCGGTTTGAGCCCCGTGAGCTCACCTACATGTTAGGGTGAATCTGAAATAGCCTCTCAAGGCTATCAGCATAGGTAGAAAAAAAATATTTCACATACTTTAAAGAACACATTGTTATTCAAAATCTTGAACATAATAAATGCGATATTAAGCGACAACTGTATTAGGTTTCAATAATCAAATATACTTGATTTCTTTGTCTCGTGAAGTCAAAGAAAGCAATAAAAATATTTATGGATGAAGCTCTCTTAACAATGTGACCTCATGTCTCAAGATAGGGGGCGGCATTTATTTTCGCGATTCGTAAACACAACAAGATTAGTCTCTGTGCACCTGATATTCTTTTATCGCGAAGATTAAAATACTATTAAGTCAACGCTATGTATTGAATTGAAATACATATTTTGTGTATTCAAAATATCAAAAAGTTAATTTTCAAATGAACAGAACACGTGCTTTCTGTATACATAAGTAATAGAGATGCGCTAATCGATAAATATGTTTATGAATGAATGAATGATGAATGAATGAATGATGAATGATTTATTTTATTTCAGACAACAATAAGTCCATATGTGTACATAGTATCATAGAAACATACTTAAAATTAACAAAAACAATCAAATAAAAAAGGTACATTTATTAAAAGTAATTATCAGTTGAATATATTTCAAATATTCCATTTATCTTATTACATATTCGTAATATAAATCAAACGACAACAATATTATTTTATCAAACGAATTATTACAAATACTACGTTCTCACAAACAATATTGGACGGATAACTTGCAGAAGGGGCCATCAATCAAAGTATTCATACTTTTGAAGCTTAATCCAACTTTCATGATATCTTCTTCCATAGCTACCGAAACTTGTTGCTCAACACTTTGGTAATTAAGGAAAACATGTTAATAGGCATACAGTATTTTTCAAGTTGGATGCAAACTGCGTAAGACCGGTTAATGTGGCAAGCCTTGGGGGAGACATATGTCCAGCGGTGGACGTCTGTGGGAACAAGAAAAAAAACTTAATCCTGCGAGTGTTGATGAAGGATATCTTTTTTTTATTGCCCTTGTAGGCAGACCAGTATATAGTCCACTTGATGGTGGTGCTTACCATCGTCCGTCGACGTCAGCAATGGCAGGGGCAGAGCCAATCTGCTGCCTACCATTGAAATCAAACCAGAGTCAGTCGAAGGTCACGGGTTACGGTATTTTCGCGGTGATTTCTATGGGCAACGTAGAGATTTCTGGAAACGCACTATAGAACACAGCAGAGGGATAAAATCTATTACCTTTACAAGGGTTGAAAGTTGGAGCAGGACGAGGACTACTTACACATTGAAGCTCGCTTATAATTTTTGGCTCCGTCATCGCATGCAGTCGTTAGTGATTGTCTTTGCTTTTACCAGGAAGACAGTATAATATAACAGGGAATGTTAACGTATAGACATAGCCCACTGAGTTTCTCGCCGGATCTTCTCAGTAGTTCACGATTCCGATGCGTTGGTAAATTCTGCGAAGCACTGCTCTTGTTGAGACTATTGTTAACAAATTCTGTCTAGCTTGTGAGCTCACCTACCCGTCCATGCGTATCAGGAATAGTCCCTTAGGGTACCATCGAATAAGTAGGGAAAAACACCTTGCTTATTACTGTCGTGAAGCAGTAATGCGTTTCGGTTTGAAGGATGGGGCAGCCGTTGTTACTATACTGAGATCTTAGAAGTCATATCTCAAGGCGGGTGGCGGCATTTACGCGTATATGTCTATGGGCTCGAGTAACCACTTAACACCAGGTGGGCTGTGAGCTCGTCCACCCATCGAAGCAATAAAAAAAACCAGAATTTTCACTAGTTTTAACCGACTTCAAAAAAGGAGGTTATCAAATTCGCTTTTATTATTTCTTTGTGTGTTCCCTCAGAACTTACTTCTTCTATAGTCCCAGCTAATTTTTATCAAGATCTGACCAGTAGCTTTTGAGTTACCTTTAATAATATTTATTCTTATATTGTTTTGTGAAATCATTTCTTTTTTAATACGCTTTTATTAGCTTCAGACGTATGTATGTTAGTATGTAACGGAATCTTTGAACATGATTGTGACCCCCTTCGAAAAGTCGGATTAACTCGAAATTTGGTATACTTATTATGGACCGATGACAATTCAATATTTAAAAAAAAAATTAAAAAATTTTATTCAACTAAAAAATGAAAAATAAATTCAAATTTATTAAAATTTATTTTCTAATTTTTAGTTGGATTTTCTATAAAAGCGTATTTTTTGTTTTTTTAAACTATTTTTTATTACAATTTTGCATTATTTCTTCTCGAGAAACCATAAATTTACACCAATTAAGAAAAGTGCACATCGTGTGGTCAGTTCTAACGTACAAACACAATTTGCTAGGAGTGGCTTCGAATTCCATTACCCCGTATTAAAAAT